AGAAGAGTTCAAACAATTAAGAGTTCGGAATGACGTGTTAAATTTTTCTTTTCTCGTCTCTCAGATTAAGATTATGAGTTCCGAGCCGTGGACTTTGCCTCCGAAGCAAGGTCTATATGACCCTACCCTCGAACGAGAAGCTTGTGGTGTTGGTTTTATCGTCGCCATTGATGGGAAGAGGTCGCACAAGGTGAGTCGCTTTTAAGCTTCGCTTGTCTCTTACGTGTAAAGTTCGAAGAACGACCGCATCTCTCGCGAGTGTCGCGTTTGATCTTTGTAATCTATTACAGATGTACATCTATATATTGCGTCATATTGCATAAAGCTTATGAAAAAAATACAACAAAGATATGATAAATAGCTAATTATAGCAAATAGTCGCGCATACTAATGAATTCTTAAATTAGACAAATATTAAAAACAACTCAAAACTGTAGACGATAAAAAGTTTAAAATAACTTCATCGTTGTCTTCAAGCTGCAAAAAGAAGGATCGAAGGTTTTTATATAACATCGAGTTAAGATTGCCCCCTTAGAATTGCGCGTAGTTTGAGTAATATATAGATGCCACTTATACAGAATATATATATAGAAAAAAAAAACGATTAGATAAAACCAGGAATGTAAACTAACAGCAATAATTATGTAACAAAAAAAAAGCAAGAGTTCTCCAGCTTAGGTGATAAATGGCTCATTGATAATAAATGAATACAATTTTGTGATTTTTTTTTTACATCACACTAGATAAGGAGGCTGTTGGACCGGATTTAATCTAATATTTACAGTTCGTTATCTGCGAATTTCAGATCGTTCGAGATGCTCAGATATTGTCGGCGCGAATGAATCATAGGGGAGCATGCGCCTGTGATAATGACACTGGTGACGGCGCCGGTGTGCTTTGCGCAATACCGCATGATTACTATGCCAATGAAATTCGGTAAGACGCTCCAAGCGAGTTGCTGATCTTCATCGAGATTGAATCTAGTTTCTGAAATCCTTATTATTCTCTTATATATTTATGAGATACGTCCGAGCAAGCGGCTCGAGCCAAAATGTTCATGCTACGTTTGTCTTTAAATATGACCCCGTCTGACTCTGAGAGTTTAATTTTCGTTACATAGATTGTTGTCGTGAAAAATCACAAAATTACGCTATCGTATCAATTTCAATTTTAACATCTATGCAATTTTTATTCGAACATTTAAGAATAAGACTTGACGAATAATTTATATCGCGATCAAAGGAACGATCACATTGTAATCATAAATTTACAAATTCTTCATCTCTTCAAATATCTTGTTTTTCAATTATGCACAGAATTATTAACGATCTCTCAAATCCACAGATTCTTAAAACATTTTTTAACATCGTATATACTTATTTTTAACATATCGGATATATTTATTATTTCTTAAATTTATCGACGTCTCTGATAATGTTTTTAACTTTTAATTTCACAAATCCTTGGCATAATTCTATAAATCTTTCGTCACAGATCCTTGTTTTGTCACGGAATAAGTCTGCGAAGCTTTAGTTTCTCCGACCCGATAAATCCTTGATTCTGATTTCGAGAAATCATAGAAACTACAGATTGCTCCTGTAGAACTGCGATCGCTTCGGACGTGATGAATTGGCTACTTCACTAAGTTGGCTTTTCGTATTACAGCGAAGAGCAAAACATCGAACTGCCCGAATTTGGACGATACGCAACCGGTATCTTATTCCTCGACAAGAATACTCATAAAGAGGCAGAAGCCAAGTTCGAGAGGCTAGCGAAGGAATGCAATTTGAGAGTACGATATTATTGTTGTTGTTGTTGTTATTATTTGTCGAGCAGTTTCGTTGCTTAAAGCGTTGGTTAATTAAGCGTTGGTTTGCGTGCGTTGAATGCACTCTCTGGCATTATTATTCTTGAGATCGCGTGATTCGTAGGTGCTGTGTTGGCGTAACGTTCCCACTGATAGCACCCAGATTGGCCAAGTGGCAAAGAAGTGCGAACCGTATATGCGTCAAGTGTTTGTCACCGGCGATCAAGACGCGGAAACGCTTAAGCGACAGGTAATTTGCGTCATCCCTAAGGCCAAGTTGTTATTTGCAGTCAGAAATTAATAGTTCTGGTCGGCATTTCACCATGTATCTCTCTCTAAATTATATAGCTTTATATTCCAATCGCGAACAATAATTTTAATCGATCAAATTTGCTTAATCAGAAGTTGACATTTATTACTTGATTGACGATATTTCTGACACTTTTTTTTATATTTATGCCTTATTTTTATTAAATAATATATGTTGGTTTATAGTTAATATTTTTCTACATTGTCTCCGAAGCCTATTTTTGGCGAAACTCCTCCTCAAGGATTAATTATTAATGAATCTCTAAAGTCGCGCGCATTATTAGCTCGTGCTCCGGATTAAACGACTTGGCATTAAACGACTTTGCCAATTTGTAAAATTAGAATTCAGATTCATCGCAGATAACAGCGATTTTTCAAGGTTAAAATATACACGGATCCTTAATCGACCGCTGATTACATGTTCTTACATTTCGTATCGTATTCTGTTCGTCAGATTTTTGTGCTGAGGAAGCGATCGTCGCATACAATACCGCGACCAGAATTGCGATACTATATTTGCTCGTTGTCGTTGAAGATAGTCGTCTACAAAGGCCAACTTACTGCTGACCAATTATGGCTGTATTTCACGGACTTGAAGGTGAATCCAAGTTATTTTCGCACTGTTTTCTTTTCCACGGAAAAAATGTCGCTCTTGCCTTACGTAAAATGCATCACGTATACCGTCGTGGAAACAGTAACGTAATATCACATAAATCTTTTTCTTTCATATCAGTCTCCGAAATTCGAGACCTATTTGGCACTGGTACACACACGGTTCTCCACAAATACTTTTCCAAGTTGGGAAAGAGCGCATCCTTTACGGTAAGATAAAAAAAACTTATTTACATCGCAGATGAAATACATTATAACTTCATCATTTCCGAATCCCCAACAGACACACAAGTTCTTTTTTGATGATACGATGGAAAAGAACGAGGAATTTGTGTTTATTCAATTTTGTTATCTCTCGTAACTATAAATATAAATAAAAAAAGAGAGAAGAACTTTGACATATATTTTTCTGCTTTTGCGATTAGTTATTTTAATTTTACATTGCTTAAAAAATATATGTGAAATATGTTTTGTATTACATTTTTTTAAACCCAAAGGAATCAATAAAATACAAACTAGAAGTATGGATGCTAAATTTTTTCGAATTTTTTTTTTCACGATTATTATGTAAATTAAAATTTTTTCAAATTATCCTATAAATAATTGATAAAGGTAATTTGCGTCATCTCTAAGGCCAAGTTGTTATTTGCAATCAGAAATTAATCAGAATAAAGTTCTGGTCGGCATTTCACCATGTATCTCTCTAAATTATAGCTTTATATTTCAATCGCGAACAATAATTTTAATCGATCAAATTTGTTTAATCAGAAGTTGACATTTACTACTATTGACGATATTTCTGACATTTTTTTTATATTTATGTCTATTTTTATTAAGTAATATATATTAATTTATAGTTAATATTTTTCTACATTGTTTTCGAAGCCCAAGCCGATGAATCTGAAAGATTTCATTTTATCAGACAAGGTCAAAAGATATTAGTTGTCAACTATCTGATTTATTACAATATTTCCCTCATTCCATTTTTTTTTCGTATTTCCTTCTCGATGTATAAAAAAATTCATAATTCATGTTTGTTTGATGAGTTGTAAATCGCGCGCTACAAAATTTAATTTTAATGTCAATGCAATTTGACGATCCGTCATTACAGCATCATAAGTTCTATCGAAGTTCAATCATCTTCGCAGGACGTTTTCGAAACCTACCAACTAGCATAACGCGTAACATTTGTGTATACAGCTTGCTTGCTCACAACGGCGAAATCAATACCTTACGCGGCAATGTGAACTTCATGAAGGCGCGAGAGGGTGTGATGAGCAGCCAGATATATGGCGATCAATTGAAACTCCTCTATCCGGTCGTAGAACCGAATCTCTCTGACTCTGGATCGGCGGATTGTGTGCTCGAGTTTTTGGTGATGGCAGGTCAACGATCTTTGCCCGAGGTATAAATTTACTTTAAGAAATACACTTAATATTAAGTATTGCGATGGATAAACACATGGAAGTAGAAAGATATCTTGAATATTTTAGATTCTATACGATTTCATAGAAATTTTATTTTACTACTCTTTGAATTTTAGAAGATATTTATTTATAATGAATCGTTAATTTGATTTGATCTGAGAGTATTGATCTTTGAATATGCAGAATCTACACCGTATCTTCACCGTTAATTTCTCAGATTATTACATATCTCGCGTATTACGATTCCATAGTTCCGCAGCTTCTCAGTTTCAAGGATCTCGGTCCTCAAATGCCTGAAATATCCGTTATTGAATCCAGGCTGTCATGACGATGGTACCAGAGGCTTGGCAGAATGACTTGACAATGGCCACTGAGAAACGAGACTTCTACCACTGGGCAGCGTGTGCCATGGAGCCTTGGGACGGTCCGGCTCTTCTGACCTTCACCGACGGCCGCTACGTCGGTGCTATCTTGGACAGGTAGAAATTTTCTTTCTCCCGTTATGTCTTGTTTATTACACGTTTTTACGAAGGCTCCACTTCCCTCTCGTTCGTGCCACCTGGTAACCTTTGGACCTCATTTTGTGTCCATAGACCCATGGCTCTGCGACTCCTCGGATCGAAAATGATTCGCGGTTGTGCGGATTCTTGGATCTTTAACATCCCCTTGTGATTTTCAACATTTTGAATCTAATCGCGTTGACGGCCGCATATGTCGCATTTCACAATTAAAAATTTTTTTAATTTTAAAATATTGTAAAATATTTCTTCCGTACGTAATTTTTTTCTTAATATATTTCTTTTTCATTATCATTTTTTAGAGTAACGATGAGAAATTATTTCCGAACATTAATAAGATGATGTACATGTTAGTAATGTATTACACATTACTTAATGTATACAAAGTTCTAAAATTTATAGACTAGAAAAAAATATATCAATTAAAAATTTAAAATGTGATAAATTAATTTTTTAACTATCGATGCGAAATGCGTAAATGCGAAACGTAAATGTATGTTAATTCGCGATTGCATACAATTCTTTAAACAAAAGACTAGAATTCACATTAAATTTGCTAGAAGCTGCACAGGTAAGCAAGTGAATTCTTTTCATTAAAATAGTTCCATGCAATAGCGAATTAATATCGCAAACACGTATTGTGTATTTCTGAAACATTTAAAAATATAAAAATTAAAATATATTATTATATTATATTATATTTATTATTTTGAATTTGCAAAAAAAATAACAAAAAAGATAATAAAATATGTCGTATTAATAAAATCGATATTCGCATTGACAGCTAAGAATAAAAAATTAATTGAGAATTGAAAAGTCACGCGATTTAATCAACTCTTTGCAGCAGTAAAATACAACAGATATTTTCTTATTTTTTTAATTTTCCCCATACTTTGTTTCGCTAACATAAAAATTGCTATAAAAATACTTTCTCCATTATTGGAATGTTCTCCAAAGTATAACACAGAAAAAAGATATAGCGGGATAGAAACGCAAAGAGTTGAATTAAAGCGAAGTTCAAAGTGTTGAAAGAATTCTATTGAAAGAGAAACGAGCCGAACGAAAGGACTCTGCGGTGTCGTTTGTTAAGGGAGCCGCGAAGAAAGAATGCTAGGCTACGTGGGCGTTTTGCCTACGCTTTGCAAGATGCATTCTGCAGGATTAACGGTGCTCACGAAATATATGAGAACGGTGCACACGTGTAGAGATACTCGGGTACAGATAAACATGGATTTCTAAGGCAAAGGGAAGTCGTGCAACCGAACGGAACAGATAGAAATTTACCCTTTTACCCCTTGGATCCAATTTATAGAAATCACGAAGAATAAAATATATGATAATGAAAAATATTCTTTGGAAAAAATAGAAATTTATATGTATAAAGATATTTTTTACAAAAATTGCTTTAAATTACTAAAACTTCTATTTACAATTAATTTTTATACGAGAACAGAAAGATTTAAACAAAACAGAAAGATTTAACAAGTAATTGTGAAAATCGCTGGTGATATAATAATGTTCAATTAATAGATTATTTATAATGCAAAAGATAATATTATAAATCAAGAATTTCTAACAGATGCAAAATTGATCTTTATGTACTGAAAATTAGAAATGGGTTTTTTTTAACTTTTTCGTTTTCTTCTATATATAATTAATATAATATAATAATTAATTAAATAGATTTTCATTAGAAATAAAATATGATATATCTATTATATATAATTAATGATTTAATATAGATAAAATTTCTCAGAATAAAATTCATCATTTAAGAAAAATAGAAAAAAAAGAAAAAGAAACATATGATATTAAAAAATCAGAATAATTTCGTGCGACTTCCCTTCGCCTTGCCTTGCTCTGTACAGCCGAAGCGAAAATCGATGTTTACGATTTACTAAGTGTCCATCGTTATCCCGATGCTGCTAATGCAGGTAAATAGGGCCTAGGCCAAGAGAGAGAGAGAGAGAGAGACTGAGAGAGCGAGAGAGAAAGAAAGATGATGTAGAGAGCGAAAAAGAGTATAACGCGAGTAAGCCAGCAGGAAGGCAAGCGAACAAACGAACGAACGAACGAACAACATTGTAGTTCACTCAGCTGATACCTAGCGCGAGACACAGAGGTGGTGTGAAATACAAAAGACCTTTTTGAATTTTTGTTTGGCAGAAACGGCCTGCGCCCGTCGCGCTTCTACGTCACTAAGGATAACATGATGGTGATGGCGTCCGAAGTGGGCGTCTATGATACTCCGCCCAGCAATGTAGTCCTGAAGGTAAACGAAGGAAATATGCGCATCCCACGCACCAGCCGATCCGACGGGAGTGTCTCTCACTCTGTCTGAGGCGGAGACAGCTAGCTCGCAGTGATTTATGATTTACCGACGAATCAACCCCCCTGTATGCTCAATCTTTTCCCCCCAGCCCCCTTTTCTCTCATCTCCGCGCCTATTCTCTACATTTCTCCCCCATATAAAGCAATTTCAGCTAGTGGAAGAGCGATCAGGGAGGAAGCGACCGCCCGGGGAAGTTGGACTTTTTTTTTCCCTGGCCAAGGATCTCTCCACGAAAGCAACGAAAGAGCCTGCTCACATTACAGTTGTACAAAAGCAATGCTTGCGCGTTTAGTCGCGCGATCAGCCGCCTTGGATTTTTTTAATTCGTTACTTGAGAGTATTTCGCTGATCTCCGAGGCCGACTTTCGAGGTCGAGATTACTCAGCGAGCGTCGATCGCTGAGAGTGAACGGATTTATTCGGATATTTTGGAAAATGCTCTTCGATAGTGGAGCCCTCGTATCAGCGAAACTCTCAAGCGCAAATCCAGCTTCGATAACGCGTCTTCTCGCCATCATTTCTTGACGGTTCGCATTTGTCTCGTCGACAATTATTATTATTGTGTCAAACAACCCGCTTGTTTGTTGACTTCCGTTGATTTCTCGTTAGAGAAGGAGGAAGAGGAGGCAGCGATACGGTAGAACTTTCTTTATTAGATCGAAAAAATAAGAGAGTACTCCCCCTGATTGTAAAATTCTAAGAGAGCATCCCCCTGGGGATTTTGTAAAATTCTAAGAACAAAAGATTAGGAGAAAGCATAGCTTGTTGATTCTACGGGATAAATAATGATTTTACAGATTTTTACGGCTTGACAATTGCATGCTTACGCAAATTTTGAGTTCCAGAGGTCTTTGGTTATACAAATTGTTGATCATGTACGTCCTTGGTTACGTATGTTACGTCCTCACCAGGTTCTTAAATCTATGGGCGTCTTCGTTCTGGGATGCAAGCACCATCATGCGATTTGTTTAATACACGAATCACTTTTTTTATCACCGTATTTCATCTATGTCTAACAAATACATTACTCATTACATTTTGGCATCTCTGTCGGAAACAACAAGCATATCATCTCCTGTCGAATGATCGAATGTGTAATAAGTAATATATATTTCGTCGCAAATGATTAATCGGATACATGGGGAACAGATGTATAATAAATAGTCTAATAAACAGAGTTCTACCGTGCAAAAAAGAATTAAGCAATTTACATTTTAACGCTCGTCGAATGATTTTGTGCGAACTCTATAGATCTCAGATATTGCCGAAAACAATATAATGTACTGGCACTCTGCCTTTACACCGATGATCATCGATGCCAGCCATCGAGATGATCATCATTAATTTCATCCAGAATTCGATTAATCCTCAAACACCGCATATGTTTCATGCGTTCACATTTCCTTTCGCTTTGTTAATAAAAGCGAATGTTTTAGTTGAGGATTAAAGGATAAATTGATATTCAAAGAGTTGATAAGGGCAGACTGTTATCAATCGATTCGCAATACCTATTTGCTGTATGTTAGTATACGTGTATAATAGCTAATCACATATATCGTATTTTATTTATTTTTTGATCATGTATCATGTATGATGTATAATTTGTCATCTAGGGACTAGGTTTGTATAGAGCTGTAGGACCGTCATCCAGTGCTGTCATATGAATGTCGATCATCGACGTGTCGAACCCGTTCTATGGCGATTATTGGTATACTCTTTTATTTGCAGAGTCGCTTGAAGCCTGGCCGGATGCTTCTCGTTGATACCGAAGAGAAGAAGATCATACAAGATGTCGAGCTGAAATTGCAGATCGCTCGAAGCAGGCCTCATTCCAAGTGGCTCAAGGAACAGGTAGCTAAATGCACTTTTCAAATTTGCGATCAATCGTCACATTACGATGATTAAATTTTACTCTGGGAGTGAAAACAAGTTTTACATAAATCATATATTTGAAAAGATTACTCAAGATGTAAAATCAAAAGCTTTATTGTTTAATTTTTTGCAAACTCCTTTTTATTATATCTTTTCTAATAAGAATCACGAGACACTCCGCATATACTTTACATTTAAATTAACGATTAATGTATTTGCATGATGAATAACGCTTATTAGAATTATATGCCTTATTATAATAGAAAAGTTAAATCTTTCTTCGCTTATCTTTGTGTTAGTATATATCGCTTGTTCAATCAATTAATAATAATCTCTAATTAACTAACGCATCGATATTGTGATGAATCATTGTTATTTCTTTATAAAGTTTTAATTTAAAAAATAATTCTGTTGGTTTTAGTGTGAAAATTGCAATGACATAATCGCGTGAAAATTTATATTCAAATCAAACAAGAAAAATTTCTAATGCAAAACTAACTTTTTTTCACTGCTGTACATGCCATTATCGTCACACGTGCAGAGGGTGAGTCGTTCTAATCATATTGTATGTTGATTTTTTTCGATATAGGTGGAGGTAATAATATAATGGAAAAATACAAAAATTAGCATGCATAGTAGATGGTGCTACGTAATAAAAAATTATGAATGACTAAGCGGAATTATGTCCACGATAAGATCTCAAATAATATTTTTTTGCATGAAAATTCATCGCACTTCTTAACTTCACTCTTTTCTATTTCTGTTGTCAATCAATTAACTAATAAACTGCTAACGGAATAATTTGATGTCTTCTGATGATGCTCGATTATTAAAAAAAAAAGTGAAAACATTCACTTATGATGGCAATTCTATTCTTCAACTTTTCCTCTTTTCAACGTAGAGGAACGCTCTTAATTTCGATAATTAGTTGGCGATGATCTTTTGAATGCAGATCACTATGGATGAATTACGTGCTGCGCATGTTCACAACGGTAATGCAGAAGACGTAATGGAGAACGGTCTATCCACCGAGACAGCAATTGTGAAAAAGAATGTTATCAATGGCGTAAACGAGATTTCAGCCGTAAATAAAGTTTGGAGCGGTGACAAACGACTCTCTCTTTATGGTTATACTCTGGAAACTATCAACTTATTACTTCTGCCCATGGTGCAAACTAAGTATGTAAATCAACAAATTTTTTTCCTATTAATATCCTATTAAATTCCTATTAATATTCCTATTATATCTCGTACGTTTTATATTTAATGTAGAATAGAAGGACGAATAAGCAAAAATTTTACGTTCACGTAAATTAAAAAAATTACTTTTTATAAATTTAAGATAATCCTGCAGTGTAATTTCTCATCGTTAAATGATACTTTGATTATTATTTTTGATATTGTTTACAATTAAGATATTTTTTTCTTTGGTAGAATTGAGATTTTTATTATAACTGTGTCCGATTATCTTAATTTTATAATTTAAAATAATATTTTAATTATTTTCCGATAAATATTTATGAAAATTTCTTTTAGGAAAGAAGCGTTAGGGTCTATGGGCAACGACGCTCCTCTGGCGTGTTTGTCAGAATTCCAGCCGTTATTGTACGATTACTTCAAACAATTATTCGCGCAGGTATGTAAAAATTTGATCAATAACTTAAAACGCAAAATATAAAAAGATTACCAGAATTAATTTAACGAAATCAAATACAATCTTTGATATGTGAATTAAAGTATCTCTCAATTATGATTTTCATCTAGGTAACAAACCCTCCAATCGATCCGTTCCGCGAAAAGATCGTAATGTCGATGCTCTGTCCGATCGGGCCTGAGAGTAACATTTTGGAACCGAGCGAGTTGCAAGTACATCGTCTGTTTCTGCCCCAACCGATATTGTCTTTGAGTGATCTTGAAGTTCTCAAGCACACAACTCACCGTAATTGGAGAACAAAAGTAATCGATATTACTTATCCTGTTGAAGATGGACCTGACGGATTATTGAAGACACTGAATCGCGTTAACAATGAGGCTAATGCAGCCGCTAGAGATGGTTATCAGCTGCTCGTGCTATCCGATCGACAAGGTGGTCCGACAAGGTGAGCTCGCAATCTATGGATCAAAATATCGATATATTTTAAATTGAAAAAAAAAAATGGACCAGAATTTACATCTGACTTTAGAGTTCCGGTAAGCAGCCTGTTAGCTCTGGGTGCTGTTCATCATCATTTGATTGAAGAGAGACAACGAATGAAAGTTGGTCTTATATTAGAAACCGCGGAAGCTCGAGAGGTGCATCATATTTGCGTATTACTTGGCTACGGAGCTGATGCCATATGTCCTTACTTGGTATTCGAGATGGCGAAAAATCTGAGGGCAGATCACGTTTTCGATGAGACTTTTACCGATGATGTTATCTATAAGGTAAGTTGCATAAAACAAGAACATTTATTATTTTAAGACAGTGACAATGGTAAAAAATTTTTTGGTTGAATATGAAAGAGAAAATAAGAATAAAAATAAGAATTAAGAGATAGAAATAACTATTCCCTTCAATTCTGTAGAATTATGCGGAAGCTATGGAACGAGGAATCGCGAAAGTGATGGCTAAAATGGGAATTTCGACTCTACAATCTTACAAAGGGGCACAGATATTCGAAGCAGTTGGATTGGCTGATGAAGTTGTCAATAAATGCTTCAAGGTATATTTTCCATATTCTAGCTCAATTTTTTGTTAATTATTGAAAAAATATATTATATTTTATATTTTTCGTAATATATTCAAGTAAATTATAAATTTTTCCTGAGAGAATATTTTACTCTTATTTTCAGATGCAAATGATTAAATATTGGATCCAATTTATGATTATTTAATGATTCAAATTTTCATAATGATGCATCTTAAGCAAATCTTATTTATTTTGTTATACAGTAAACAATATTTTTCTTAATCTTAATTTTCTTAAACTATATATACTTGAATTCTTTAGGGTACTCATTCTCGTATCGGCGGCGTGACATTTGATATTCTGGGCAAAGAGGCATTCGAACGACATCAAATAACATACTGGAATAAACCTATGGATATATTGGTTATTCGCAATCCAGGAATTTATCATTGGCGATCTGGTGGTGAGAAACATATCAATGATCCTGTCAGCATCGCCAGCTTACAGGTAATAAATGTTTATAAGAAAATATCAAGAAAATATTTTCGAATTGAAGAAGTTAAAATTTCTTATTTTGAAAAAGAAATATATAAAATATGTTGTCCTTTTACAATTATCTTTCTTTTATCAGGAATATGTTGTCTCCAAGAACAATTCTGCTTATGAGAATTATCGCAAGACCACGATGGAAGTGGTGAAGGCTTGCACACTGCGTGGTCAGCTCGAGTTAAAAAAAATACGCGATTCGATTCCTATTACAGATGTGGAATCCGCATCGGAAATTGTGAAACGATTCGCGACCGGCGCAATGAGTTTCGGCAGCATTTCTATAGAAGCTCATTCTACTCTGGCAATTGCCATGAATCGTATTGGTGGCAAGTCAAATACCGGTGAAGGTGGTGAAAATGCAGACAGGTATAACAAAAAAATACAGATTATAAAAAATATAATGATAAGAATTGAAAAACTAAAATTATTATTGCAACGATATTGAACTATAACCAGCTGTGTTTGTACTGTCATCTAATAGGTATCTAAACCAAGATCCAGAATTTAGCAAACGCTCGTCTATCAAACAAGTAGCGAGCGGCCGTTTCGGCGTAACCGCCAGTTACCTGGCAAACGCCGATGATCTGCAAATTAAGATGGCGCAAGGCGCGAAGCCTGGCGAGGGCGGCGAGCTTCCCGGTTACAAGGTCACCGCAGAAATTGCAGCCACCAGACACTCAGTACCCGGAGTCGGTCTGATCTCGCCACCGCCACATCACGACATCTATTCGATTGAGGATTTGGCTGAGCTTATCTACGATCTTAAGTGTGCCAATCCAAATGCTCGTATCTCCGTCAAATTGGTATCCGAGGTCGGAGTTGGTGTCGTCGCCGCCGGTGTTGCCAAGGGCAAAGCGGAACACGTGGTGATATCCGGCCACGATGGCGGCACCGGTGCCAGCAGTTGGACCGGCATCAAGTCCGCCGGATTACCCTGGGAATTAGGCATCGCTGAGACGCATCAAGTGTTGACCCTAAACAATCTGAGATCGCGCGTGATTGTTCAAGCAGATGGTCAAATGCGCACAGGTTTCGATATTGTAGTAGCTGCGCTGCTCGGTGCAGATGAATTCGGGTTCAGTACCGCCCCGCTGATTGCCATGGGTTGCACAATGATGAGAAAATGTCACCTAAATACCTGTCCAGTGGGCATCGCCACGCAAGACCCAGTATTGAGAAAGAAATTCGAGGGCAAGCCAGAACATGTGATCAATTTCTTCTTCGCATTAGCTGAAGAGGTAAGAATGATTTAGATGTGTTTAGTTTATCATTTTCCATGTATCTTGAAGTTTCCTTTACTTTAATCTCTACTTAGTTTTTTCGTCTCTATTATTATTTTCACGTTCTTATTTATATCTTTAAATACTTGTTCCCAAAATTATAATTAAGGAGTGCTAATAATGACGGATTAATTAATTTAGATCTCTATGTTAAAATCGAGAAACTTGAATATCATATACAAATATATACATAATACATAATACAATTATAATATATAATATATAATACAATTTAATTTTTATAAATATAAAAATCTTATATTAATGTATGTATTGGGTTAATTCTAATCTTTTTCTAATTTTTTTATTAATTTAGATCTTTATGTTAAAATCGAGAAACTTGAATATCATATACAAATATATATATAATATATAATACAATTTAATTTTTATAAATATAAAAATCTTATATTAATATAAAAATCTTATATTAATGTATGTATTGGATTAATTCTAATCTTTTTCTAATTTTTTTATTTCTACAGGTACGTTCACACATGGCGAACTTGGGCATCCGCAAGTTCCAGGATCTGATCGGCCGCACAGATCTCCTTAAAGTACGTGATGATATCTCTATTGAGAAAGCCAAAACCCTAAATCTCAACGACGTTTTACGAAACGCGCTGGACTTAAGACCTGGTGTGAATATTAAAGGTGGTACCGTAAAGCAAGATTTCCAATTAGAGAACAGACTCGATAATAAACTGATCGAATTGGCGGAACCTGTTTTGAATGGAATACACAAACGAGTCGACATCGAAATGAATATTAACAACGAATGTAGAGCATTCGGATCAACACTGAGTTATCATGTAGCCAAGTAAGTATACTGAGAGCTTCTTCATACAGAATCAACAAAGCAAAATTTATAAAATTGTTATTATTTACCAATAAGTTTAACTTTTTTATTATCACTTATTTTACAATTTCTTTGCAGACGATTTGGAGAGGATGGATTGCCCGAGCATAGTATCAACATCAAAATGCAAGGTTCAGCGGGTCAAAGTTTCTGCGCTTTCATGACAAAGGGTATTCACGTTACCCTTGAAGGCGATGCTAATGATTATGTCGGCAAGGTAAAAATAAGTTTCTTAAACTTTTAAATTTGCAATATAAATAATCTATATCTAATTTCACATCTATTCAGATCTATATTATATGAAATATCTAGATATTAAAGATTTCTAATTGTTATTAATGGCCTCTCGTGCAAAAAAATAAATAATTTTATTCGCAGGGTCTCTGCGGAGGTGAAATCGTCATATATCCGCCAAAGGACTCCGAATTTAACTCAGAGGCAAATGTGATCGTTGGAAATGTCTGTCTTTATGGTGCAACTTCTGGAAAGGCCTACTTCCGCGGTATCGCTGCTGAGAGATTCAGCGTGCGTAACAGCGGAGCAATCGTTGTAGTGGAGGGTGTAGGTGATCACGGTTGCGAGTATATGACTGGTGGTTGTGCTTTGATTCTGGGACTTACCGGCAGGAATTTTGCTGCTGGAATGTCCGGTGGAATAGCGTATGTCTTGGATGTGGATGGCTCCTTTAAGAGCAAATGCAATCCCGAAATGGTCGAATTGTTATCACTTAACAAACCAGAAGAAATTGCGTATGTGAAGCAACTACTCGAGGAGTTTATCGAGAAGACTGGTTCGTTGATAGCACAAGACTTACTCGCCACATGGCCAGAACCGACCACAAGATTCGTCAAGGTCTTCCCTTATGAATACCAACGAGCCCTTAAACAACTGGAGGAAGCAAAGCAACAAACGCCTAACGTGATTAATGGTGACACACAGAATGGTGTTGCAAACGGCAAAATTAAGGATATAGAAGATTCGATAGAAGACGCGGACATGGCACAGCGAAAATTGGACAAAATTAGAGGTTTCATGAAGTATTCGAGGCAAAAGACCGTATACAGACCAGTCGAGAAACGTATAAACGACTGGGACGAGATATATAACTTCCAGGGTGTCAGGAAGACTCTACGAGTACAAGCAGCGAGATGCATGGAGTGCGGCGTTCCATTTTGTCAGAGCAGTCACGGTTGCCCATTGGGCAACATCATTCCTAAATGGAATGATCTCGTATTCCACCAGAATTGGAAAGAGGCCTTGAATCAATTGTTGCAAACTAATAATTTCCCTGGTAAGTCAATTTACTAAAATTTTTTGCTAAATACAAATCTAAATTATTTACTAATGAACTTGATTCCGTTTTGCATATAAAAATTGCTCTGTAATAACTTGTTATTGATTTTATTATAATTTCATATGAGTAATATACTAATACTAATACTCTTTTCTGTTTTTCTTTGATATTTTTCCTTCAAATTTGTCAATTTCATCTTCCCATTTATTTTTTTTAATCGATCAACTAATCTAATTGAAATTAAATAATATAGAGTTCACCGGAAGAGTCTGTCCCGCACCTTGCGAGGGTGCGTGCGTCCTAGGAATCTCCGAACCACCGGTGACAATCAAGAATATCGAGTGTGCTATAATCGATCACGCATTCGAGCAAGGTTGGATCGTTCCTCATCCACCAACCAGAAGAACCGGACGATTGGTAGCTGTGGTCGGATCCGGGCCCGCGGGACTGGCTGCCGCTCATCAGTTGAATAAAGCAGGTCATACAGTAACTGTATTTGAGAGAAACGATAGAATCGGTGGGTTGCTGCAATACGGTATACCGACAATGAAGCTATCTAAGCAAGTTGTACAAAGAAGAGTCTCTTTGCTCGCCGCGGAGGGAATTATCTTTAGAACAGGTGTCGACATAGGCAAGGATATTACAATGCAGGTAAGCAAACATATATGATGACAAGTTTTTACGATTATATACAACAGACAAAAATTAATAATTTTACATATATATATGCGCCTCATATATGTGTACAACGAACTCGAAATTATTTTTTCTATAATATTATACCCTAATAGAATCCTTTATTTTTTATTTGTACGACGATATTTATTCCTAAAGCATTCTTTTACTTCTATAATAATTCTCTTACATATATGTACATTATTTCAGGAACTTCGAGAACAATACGATGCGGTTCTGTTATGTACAGGCGCGACATGGCCGCGAGATCTGCCGATTCCAGGTCGGCAACTAGAGGGAATTCATTTCGCCGTAAGCTTCCTAGAGCACTGGCAAAAGAAACAAATGGGCAATGCAGCTCCTCTCGATATGCGATTGATGGCCAAGGATAAGGATGTTGTTATTATAGGAGGTGGCGACACCGGATGCGATTGTATAGCGACTTCACTGCGTCAGGGTGCGAAGACGATCACAACTTTCGAAATCCTTCCCGAACCGCCGATTCAGCGGGGCAAAGATAACCCGTGGCCTCAATTCCCACGAGTGTTCAAGGTTGATTACGGTCATGAGGAAGTATCCCTGAAATTCGGTCGAGATCCGCGTAGATACAGTACGCTAAGCAAGGAATTCTTAGATGATGGGAATGGTCATGTAAGTGGCATCAGAGCGGTGTCCGTTGAATGGCGAAAGGACGAAAATGGCCGATGGAAAATGGAAGAAGTACCAAATTCAGAGAAAGTGTACAAATGCGACCTAGTATTACTAGCTATGGGCTTCCTCGGACCTGAGAAATATATCGCTACGGAAGTGAATGCCGAATTGGACGAAAGAGGAAACTATAAGACTCCGCCCGGAAAATATTGTACTAGTTTATCTAAAGTATATGCAGCAGGCGGTTAGTACATAATATTATTATACTAAATTTTTAGACTTTTATTCCTTTTATCTAATTTATATATCCAATTTTATAAAAAAATTTTTTTCCAATTGCATCTATCTTAAATTTATTACTATTTTGTCGCTTATAATTTAGAATCTTTTGCTTTTGATTGAATGTATGTTATTGATATTTTTATTAAATACTTAATTTATATATCTTTCTGCTTTGATCTTAAGACAAATTTTTGATTATAAAAATCATTATAAGTCAAAGTAATCAGCTAATAGGATTAAAATCTTTATATTAAACGTAAAGAAATTAATTTATATATATATAAATTGCAGAAACATGAATATTACATATTTTGTTATATACATGTATATTTTTGCACATTAGATTGCAGACGTGGACAGTCGCTCGTAGTATGGGCGATTGCAGAGGGTCGATTGGCCGCGAAAGAAGTTGATTTGGCCTTGATGGGAGAAACTGGCCTTCCCGGAAGCGGTGGTGTCATAATTGGCGTTAGCGCTTAAGGACCTTCATGAGAGATGTTGGTCTTCCAGTTAAAACAAGAAAAATGATTCACCGTGTACGCGTATCACGAGGAAAGAGTCGTATCGACTATTAAGAGGCAGAGAGAGAATCCTTGGAGATCCAAGGATGCGAGCTTCGGGATCCGAGGATTCGAAAGTTCCATGAATCCAAGGAGATAAAAGCCTAGAATTGTAGAGTTCAGAAATCCAGGAATCCGAAAAATGCAAACATTCGGAAATCCACGGGTTCAAACTTCCAGCAATCCAATGATCTATAGCTCCTAGGATGTGGAGATTGAAGAATTCTTCTAGGACTAAAAGATGCTAAAATTTAAAGAATTAAAGATTTGAATATCCGAAGAATTTTGAGAGTCTAAAATCAGGAAATTCATATATCCGAATTTTTCGACATCTAAAAATTAGATCTCAGAATTCAAAAAAGATTCAAGGATCTAACAACGAGAACATTAGACAAACAAGTTCCGAATTCCATAACTACAAAAATTAAAAAATTTGAAGAATTAAATTGTTTCAAAAAGAGATGAAAGATTAAGTAATGACTAAAAGAAAAAAAACCTAGAAGAAAAAAAAATTTATAAATCAGAAATACTAAAATTTAGTAACACAAAATTGAAAAAATTTAAAAATCTTTTCAAGAAAATTTAAAAATCAATTTGAAGATATGGAAATTTTAATATCCAAGGATTGAGAGATCCAAAAATTTTTAAAATCTGTTTAACTTATTTAATTAATCTAATAATTTCAAAATTTGCAATATAGAAGTTCAAAAATACAACATCAATTAAATAAAAAATTTTAGAAAAAATTTTAGTAGTTTCAGATTAGAAATCACTGCAGATTCAGAAACCCACAAATCTGCTGTATTTGATGATACGATAATTCGAGAATTCAAGAAATTAAAGAGCTTGATTTTCAAATATTTGAAAATCCAAGTGATTAGAAGCATTTGATGATTTAGGGATCGAAAGATTTTCAGACTTCGATCTGAAGATGTGATAATCAAGTGAGAAATGATAAGTAAGATAATTTTTGTGGCGCGAATCTCTCCGTATCAGTAAAGAGAAGTAAATGTAATTTCTCCATAACGTAGTGGAATCATCTAACCTAAACTCGTTCGTCCAATTAGAATTAATCACATTCAAGAGAATTAGAGCTTTGAATATGAAGAAAGGTACAGGAACGAGCAGGATCTATATAAAAATCCATATATAGATTTATATTAGGCAGTATAGTTTACCAACTAAACTATTCTTTTTAATACACAACTGCAAATCTATTATTTTAAAAAATAAAAATAAAAAATGTTTCAGCATTATTTATGAAATACACCTATGCGAAATTTTCTAACATTTTTAGCTTTTTGAAAAAAAATAGTAATATTCTCAATTAAATACAGTTCAGATACTTTAAATTACTTTAAATCTATTTTTTTATAGGACAAACATTTAATTGTAATTATTAATGAAGTTTATGTGTGAGTACAAAAAGTATTCGTATAGCGCCATTTTTTTCTCTGCATGTTAATTAACAACTGTGAATGTAAACATGAACAGATCCTAAGGTGTTATATAATAAAATTGCATCATCTAACTATTGCATCATCTTTGTTCGGCTGAATCTCATTCTATTAATCAATAAACAAAACTCAATATTTAAAGATATATAAAATATTTAGATATAACTAATAAATATTGCGTCGTATTACTGCATTATTTATAAAAGTATATATAACCACCATACATTTATAATGCTCATTGCTTTATTAGCAGCAGAACAAAAATATTTTTCTAATTAAAGATCATGTTCCTTTGATAGATTTTATTATTCTCTCTGATATCAACGAATTATTTTTAGAAGAAAATCCAAAAAGATCTTGAATTTATAAAATAATTAGTTTTAAAATAATTTTATTACAAAACTAGGAATTATTTTTATGTTGAGATTCATTTCCTTCTTTTAACATTTGTTAAACTATTGGTTCATTTGGCACTATTGTAAAATAAAATGATGGCATACGAATACTTTTATGGTACTTATCTGATATTATATCTTTTATTCATTTTCAGTACATGATTATTAATATTTTCAGCGTTCCTAGGCATTCGCCTAGGTTGCCTAGCATATCATTGCGAATCTGCTTGTATCGATGAAAAGAGTTATCGAAAGATAATATAACATAAACAAGAAGAGAACAATGTAGCACTTGTATTATACATATATGTCGTTTACTGTAATTTCATAATAATTCTGCCAGTTAAATCACTGTCGAACTTTTGCAAATAGGAAACGATCATTTAACCCTTTAACAGCACACCTGCAATTATAATTAAGTATAAATTTTATCATATATTGATTACTTTTGAATTCTGTTAGTATAATAATAAAAAATGAAGTTCTTAAAATATACTTGTAACTGTATTTATTAGAAAATAAACGCGTAAAAAGCAAAAATGAAAGCGTTAAAAAGAAAGAAAATTTAATTCTCTATAAAAATTGAATTGTATGATTAAAGTATAAACAATATTCAAAATTTACTATAATTTATTATATAATTATGTAAAGAATGATCCAAGTTTTTAATTAAAAATTAAATCGAATAATCGTCTTAGTTTTTATTTTTAAATGTTATTGTTGCAAATAACGAGTTCATGAATTTAAAGTAGAATAAAATAAACCAGTAACATTAGTTAAAGGGTTAATATCGACGGACAACTTAATTAAAGTTTAATGCTTTCGTAAGCTAATAATACCCTATTAAATTGTCTTTATATATATATATATATATATATATATA